GCGGCAGACACAGCGCAGTCACAAAATTATCACGCGTCATATTGATAAAATCAAAGTTTTTTGTATGTGTAACATGCCCATCTAGTATTAACAAGCAAAGGTCTTCAGCTGTAGGCTTCGCATGCTTAAAAAAATGCTCAAACCACATACTGAAAATTTCCAGCTGCATCCATGCTGATTTATGATAGGCGAATTCGGTACCAGGTGGAGCTCCGTCCATTAACTCTTCTTTCATTATCACTCTAGGAAAAATAAATCATCATTGGGCGAATGAATGAGCCACCAGCAGACATGCAAACGATAACTGTTGATGTGAGGCTGCCCTCCTGTTTTCAGCCTTTTAGTGCACAAATTTTGCTCGATTTAGACTGCACAGTTGTAAGTCCCGTCTCATCCAAATTAAAAACCCGCATAGGTCTGTATGAGAATCGACTAACGTATTCATCTTAAAGTGCAAACCTATCAACACTAGGCTTATTGAAGGCTCTAGCTCGAGCCGCACTAGTAGCTTCTGGAGTGCTAATTTCCGGATGTCTTTCACAGAACTTATTTTAGACATTCTAAAATTTACGTAAAATAAATTTTATGGATAATTTCATTAATTTTAATTATTAGATAGTAAACAGTATGTGTGCACTGCACCGCTTGGTCCTCCACCTCTTATCTTCTCCTTTAATTGTTCCAGTAGTCTTGATATTCATATGCCTGTCAAAAAGATTAATTAACTAGTTTTCAAACAGCGAAACTTTTTTGTCAACAAAATTTTGATCAAAAATAAAAAAAGTGTATTGAACAATTCTACTTTAAAAATGCGGAGACGATGAACGGGCAGCGGCCCAAGCGGTGCAGTGCACATACACTATTTACTATTTAATAATTAAAATTAATAAGAGTATCCTTATTTTACATATATTTTTGATTAAGTGTAAGGGGTTAAAGAAAATGTCCTTTATTTCTCACAAGTCAATTTAATTGGCGACCGGTTTCGAAGCTGCCACTTCATCATCAGGCACACCTAAATGGAATGTCAAGGAGTCAGTTGTAATAAAAAACAATTATAAAAGCATGAACGGACTTTAACATATACAAAATAACAGAAAAAAAACACAAAAGAAGTTAAACAATAACCTTGACTCACCTTGACTATTTCCATAAAGACATCTATCTAGATTTTTAACGAATCAATGTAGTAAACTGTAAATTTTAAATTTAGCGGATAAATAGTGTACTAACAAAGGTGTTATTTACTGAAAGTGAGTATAGGTGGCGGTGACAAAATTTATTGAAAGTAAAAATATTAAACTGGGAAATGAGAAAGCAAAAAATACTAACAAGAAAATTAGAACACTGAACAAGAAAATATGAAAATTCATTTGTAAAAGGGAAATTTGAAGCAGATAATCAAAAGAAAAATTACTGTTACAGGAAACGGAAAATAAGTTGACAAGTACGAATGTCAAAAAAGAAAAGTCAAATTTTGGCGTATGACAACCACGTGGGAGAATTTGAATAAACTAATAAAACATTTAATAAGATGTGAGTGGGCAAAAAATTAATGGAAACAGAGAAGAGAATCTAAATTGGGAGAGTTAATTAATTTGTGGTAAGTAACTGATTGAAGATCAAATGAGTGGGGGTATAAGTCTGAAATTAATTTAAATAAGCGCAGAGAACGTTGGGGTACTAATAAATTGAATTTGTGCATTCAGAGAGCAGGAGGGGCCAGATTTAATATTTTTTTAAATTTCCAGGTTCTCAAAGTTATTCAGAAGAAATTTATTAGAAGTCATATGCAAAATGTCGAAGCCAATGCTAGAATCAAAATCGTGACCAGTGTCTAACAAATGAGCAGCAAAGTGAGAAAAACCAGTAGTGTTAGTGTTAAGACAGCGTGTGTGCTCTTTCAGGCGTATTTTAAAATTACGAAAGGTCCTTCCCACATATGAGCATGGACAGTTCAAACAAGTTAGTTTGTAAACACCAGACTGACCCATAGGATCAATCTTATCCTTATTCCTAACAAATAGGCTACTGATGGAGTTGGACGTTCTAAAGCTAATTCTGAAGGAATCTTTGAACAAGTTGGCTATACGATATGAGAATTTTCCAATAAAAGTAAGTGAAACATACTTACGATTATCTGCTTCAATATTGGGAAGGGGGTCAATTATGTAACTATTGTTCTGATTACGTTTATTCTGTTTTCTATGAAGCATTTTATCTATTAAGTTCTGATCATAATTGTGACTATTAGCAATTTGTTTGATAACATTGAGTTCTTTATTAAAGTTATCTACTGATAGAGGTACTTTCAGAAGACGTTCCAAGTAACAATTAAAAGCTGCTAACTTATGTGTAACTGGGTGATTGGATAAATTATCAATAACAACCCCTGTGTGAGTAGGTTTCCTAAATATGTTAAATTCCAACTTAAGATCTGTACAATGGGATATAGTTAAATCAAGGAAGTTGATAGATTTGTTGTTTTCTATCTCTAATGTAAATTTGATATTATATAGTAAAAATATTTGCTAATGTACCTATCCCAGAGGTTTTAGAATACATCAAATCTTACTTGTCTTTATCTACCTTACCAGATGTAGAACTGTTGGAACTTATGAACTTATTAACAATTAGTCTTGAACAAAACTTCTTCCTCTTTAATAATGAAATTTTTACACAGACAGCAGGATTAGCTATGGGTTCGCCTTTATCTCCTATACTTGCAGACATCTTTATGCATAATTTTGAGAATAACAATATATTAAACAACAATCCGTTTTGCTCAGCTATTAAATTCTATCATATATATGTTGATGACATACTGATACTATGGACTGGTGATCTGGATAAGTTAAATAACTTCCTAAATTATATAAACACCATACATAGTAACATCAAATTTACATTAGAGATAGAAAACAACAAATCTATCAACTTCCTTGATTTAACTATATCCCATTGTACAGATCTTAAGTTGGAATTTAACATATTTAGAAAACCTACTCACACAGGGGTTGTTATTGATCATTTATCCAATCACCCAGTTACACATAAGTTAGCAGCTTTTAATTGTTACTTGGAACGTCTTCTGAAAGTACCTCTATCAGTAGATAACTTTAATAAAGAACTCAATGTTATCAAACAAATTGCTAATAGTCACAATTATGATCAGAACTTAATAGATAAAATGCTTCATAGAAAACAGAATAAACGTAATCAGAACAATAGTTACATAATTGACCCCCTTCCCAATATTGAAGCAGGTAATCGTAAGTATGTTTCACTTACTTTTATTGGAAAATTCTCATATCGTATAGCCAACTTGTTCAAAGATTCCTTCAGAATTAGCTTTAGAACGTCCAACTCCATCAGTAGCCTATTTGTTAGGAATAAGGATAAGATTGATCCTATGGATCAGTCTGGTGTTTACAAACTAACTTGTTTGAACTGTCCATGCTCATATGTGGGAAGGACCTTTCGTAATTTTAAAATACGCCTAAAAGAGCACACACGCTGTCTTAACACTAACACTACTGGTTTTTCTCACTTTGCTGCTCATTTGTTAGACACTGGTCACGATTTTGATTCTAGCATTGGCTTCGACATTTTGCATATGACTTCTAATAAATTTCTTCTGAATAACTTTGAGAACCTGGAAATTTTAAAAAATATTAAATCTGGCCCCTCCTGCTCTCTGAATGCACAAATTCAATTTATTAGTACCCCAACGTTCTCTGCGCTTATTTAAATTAATTTCAGACTTATACCCCCACTCATTTGATCTTCAATCAGTTACTTACCACAAATTAATTAACTCTCCCAATTTAGATTCTCTTCTCCGTTTCCATTAATTTTTTGCCCACTCGCATCTTATTAAATGTTTTATTAGTTTATTCAAATTCTCCCACGTGGTTGTCATACGCCAAAATTTGACTTTTCTTTTTTGACATTCGTACTTGTCAACTTATTTTCCGTTTCCTGTAACAGTAATTTTTCTTTTGATTATCTGCTTCAAATTTTCCTTTTACATATGAATTTTCATATTTTCTTGTTCAGTGTTCTAATTTTCTTGTTAGTATTTTTTGCTTTCTCATTTCCCAGTTTAATATTTTTACTTTCAATAAATTTTGTCACCGCCACCTACACTCACTTTCAGTAAATAACACCTTTGTTAGTACACTATTTATCCGCTAAATTTAAAATTTACAGTTTACTACATTGATTCGTTAAAAATCTAGATAGATGTCTTGAGAGTCTGATAATTTTTACTTTTTACTTTTATTAATTGACGTTATATCCTTAAAAAAATGTTTAAACTGTTTGTGCTTGTAAAAACTATTTTGTGTTGTTTAGTTAATAATAGTCTTACATGTGTTTTAATTAATTTATTCAAACAGACATCTCGCGGTTTAACCTAACCTACAATATTTTTAAAAAATACTATTGTATTACATATGACTTTTTTAACTCGTTTTGTTAAACTTTATGTAGCGCTTCCTTTATGGAAATAGTCAAGGTGAGTCAAGGTTATTGTTTAACTTCTTTTGTGTTTTTTCTGTTATTTTGTATATGTTAAAGTCCGTTCATGCTTTTATAATTGTTTTTTATTACAACTGACTCCTTGACATTCCATTTAGGTGTGCCTGATGATGAAGTGACAGCTTCGAAACCGGTCGCCAATTAAATTGACTTGTGAGAAATTAAGGACTTTTTCTTTAACCCCTTACACTTAATCCCTACTACTCACATATGGCTACCCTCACTCCAAAAAAAAAAATATATATTTTTGAAAATGTAAAATAATTTCTGTGAAATTTAGATAGGATACTTGCTTTTTTGGCATCCTTACAGCACTTATGCACAAGCCGCCACTGTGATACTCCTAACTAAACCTATTGGGTAAGATTAATCGATATCAACGATTATGATTATAATTTATATGAAGGGGTATCTGTAAAAAATTGTTATATAGAATTAAAGGTAGAAATAATACTTACGCATCATAAGGTCTGTAGCCCCACATATGAGCTATACTGTTAACACTGCCAGTTAGGTTAATTCCAATAATAAACCTCATTACATTGACAGTAAAAGCATTTGAAAACTGTTCTTTCCAAAAATAATAGGGCACATAAGAGGGCAGAAGGAAGCACAAAATTAAAATGAGTGGCAAGTAGTATCTAAAAAAATCACACTATAAAAAGTTCATATTTGGCTCGTTTAGCATGGTAAGATGACGCTAAAGGTAATCCACTGTTCAGTTCCAAATTTAATATATGATGTTAAACAAATATTCATGGTTAACTGCATAAATATTCTGTGGTTATGGACACTTACTTTTTTTGATAAATAGCTACAGGGTCTGCAGTCACGTCACTTAAATCAATGGTATTACCCTTTGCTATAACATCTGGATGTTTTCTGACCAAGAGCCATCCCATATGAGAAAAGAAGAATCCTCTAGTGGCGTTGTGGGGATCGGCATTAGTATCGCTAAATTTATGATGTACTCTGTGATCTCTCGCCCATTCATATATGGTTTTTTGGAACGCCGCACTTTGCGCCAAAGCCAAAAATATACGTAAAGGTAGTTTTGCTTTGTACGACCTATGTGCCCACAGTCTATGTGACCCAGCTGTTGTTCCGAGTATTGTAAATATTAAATAAATCCAATCTAAACAGAAACAATTCAGAAATTAGTATTCAGGGTGAAACTGTAACCGTCACCCCAACAAACTCAATTAATGTATGTAAATATCATCTACAACACTAAACAATTACTTCCAGGACTCTCGGTGCCTTCGGGCATTGAATTATAAGTGTTATATAATATGTGTTGGTAATCTAATTTCTAGATACAGAACCAATTGTTTGATTTGGCATTTTAGAAGCTTGTACTGGAGAGATTAAATAAATAAAATAAAAGCAAAACGTAAAAAAAATTATTTTAAAGAATAAACATATATAGAACCAAAAGGGGCAATAGCAGAAACATCCTTGAAAAGTGGCAGAGGGTAGAAGGAGAGTTTGAAAGTGGAAAGCAGAGCAGAACCAGATAAGCAGAGTAATAGAAGGAGGACAGCCAAAACAGAAGACAAAAGAAAAAGAAGCCTTATTTTCAATCAATTTTTTTTTAATATATAGGGTGTTAGTAAATAAGTGCGACAAACTTCAGGGGGTGATTCAGCATGAAAAAATAATGACAGTTTGCTATATAAACGTATGTCTGAAAATGCTTTGTTTTCCGAATACGGGGTGTTAAAGTTTTTCTTAAAAACTGACGATTTGTTTATTGCTCTGAAACCGGTCAAGATATGCAAATGAAATTTGGTGGATTTTAAGAGGTAGTTATTCCGCATTTTTTGACATGCAATTAAGAATTTTATGTTCATCATTGGCGTGCATACGGGTAATGATCTCAATTCATTTAAAGAAAAAAATGGTACGCCACTGACATATTTCAAATTAAAAATCATTTTTGAATTGCTCATTAAATTTGTCACAAAAAAATATCTCTGGCCTTTTTATGCAAAAAAATAAAATATCTTAACGCGTATTTTCCATTTCTTTAATACATTATTATCAAATAGCGACGCTAGTAGGTACTAGTAGGCTATTGTCAACATTCTGTTAAATACGAACAGTTTAACGAAATGTCAAATTAGCGTTTCTTCATTATTAAGCTTTTAGTTTGGTATAACATTGATGTTAATAAGTAATTAACTTTTCTTTTATCGAAAACAATGGAAAATTATACAAACGTGGAATTGTCAGACATGCATTTTGTCTATGGTCGAAGTAATGGAAATGGTCGGCAAGCTCGACGATTGTATGCTAAGTTGTATCCAGGACGTAGGGTATCCCATCACACAATATTTGCTCGCCTTCACCAACGTTTGCGCGAAAATGGTACATTTAAGAAACAAACGGCTGACTGCGGGCGCCCTCGAGAAGTACGAACTGTGCAACTAGAAGAAGCAGTTCTCGAGTTAATTGCGGAGTCACCGGAAGCAAGTACTCGAAAAATTGCCAACATATTAAATGTAAGCAACTTCACTGTATTTAAAGAACAGCAGTTGTATCCATTTCATATTCAACGTGTGCAAGCTCTACTACCTAGAGACTTTCTTCCGCGCCTATTTTTTTGCCAATGGATTCTTCATCAAATCGCTCAAATTCCTAATTTTTTAAATAGAGTTTTGTTTACTGACGAAGCTAATTTTGGTCGAGAGTCTATACGAAATTTCCATAACAATCACTTATGGGCTGAGGAAAATCCACATGGAATCTTTGAAGCTTATTTTCAGCATCAGTTTTCGGTAAATGTATGGATTGGGGTAATTGATGATCATTTAATCGGTCCATATTTCCTCCCACAACGACTAACAGGCGACTCTTACCTCAATTTCCTACAGGAAGAGTTACCTGTTCTTCTTGAAGAAATTCCTCTACAGCTGAGACAACACTTATGGTTCATGCATGATGGTGCACCAGCCCATTTTAGCACTGATGTACGAAATCACTTAGATGCAGTATATGCAAATCGTTGGATAGGTAGGGGAGGTACGGAACATTGGCCTGCTCGATCGCCGGATTTAAATCCTCGGGATTTTTGCATTTGGGGTTTTCTTAAGTCACTAGTTTATTCCACTCCCGTCGAAAATGTCGGAGACCTGAGGAACCGAATTATAACCCGCTGTGAGACAATAAGAAATACACCAGGACAATTTGCGCGAATACGACAATCAATGCGGCGAAGAGTTGAATCTTGTCTCACGTCTGAGGGAGGTCATTTTCAGCATTTGTTGTAGCTTTGCGCCTATTTAAAATTTTATTAGTGTTATTTTCTCTTATTGTTCTAGTTTAATGTTATTGTATTAGATAGTTCTTGATAATGTATTAAAGAAATGAAAAATACGCGTTAAGATATTTTATTTTTTTGCATAAAAACGGCGCCCCACACGAAAAAAAGGCTAGAGATATTTTTTGTGACAAATTTAATGAGGAATTCAAAAATGATTTTTAATTTGAAATATCTCAGTGGCGTACCATTTTTTTCTTTAAATGAATTGAGATCATTACCCGTATGCACGCCAATGATGAACATAAAATTCTTAATTGCATGTCAAAAAATGCGGAATAACTACCTCTTAAAATCCACAAAATTTCATTTGCATATCTTGACCGGTTCCAGAGCAATAAACAAATCGTCAGTTTTTAAGAAAAACTTTAACACCCCGTATTCGGAAAACAAAGCATTTTCAGACATACGTTTATATAGCAAACTGTCATTATTTTTTCATGCTGAATTACCCCCTGAAGTTTGTCGCACTTATATATATATATATATATATACAGGGTGGCTCACGCTCAACGGGACGGAGCTTTATGGGAAAACGTCCAAAGATATAAAAAATTCGTTTGGGAGGAATACGTAGGTTACAGACGGCTACAATTTAAAATTTGTTAGATGTATACAGGATGTCCCACATAAGAGAAAATATACAAAGTTATATTATTTTTAATGGAACACCCTGTTTTTTATTTTAGAATTAAAAACTACATCAAAAATAATGTCAGTTAACTAAAGGTTCCCTATTACTATTATTATTAGTTTTCGATTTATTTGAATTTTTAAGGAAAAAAAGTCAATTAATTGTTTACTCTTGTTTGAATAATTTTTAATGAACTAATTTTTTTTTTCTTATGTGGGACATCCTGTATACATCTTACAAATTTTAAATTGTAGCCGTCTGTAACCTACGTATTCCTCCCAAACGAATTTTTTATATATTTGGTCGTTTTCCCATAAAGCTCCGTCCCGTTGAGCGTGAGCCACCCTGTATATATATATATATACTGTATTATGCGTCGTTCCCAAGCCCTGTTAATTATAAGACGACCTCAGACCAACCAGAAATATTAAGAATATAAAAACAAGTGATGTCACTTTTGACATATTTTATGTCAATGAATTAATCCACATTGAGAGGGGAAAGAAAAAAACAAAATTAAATTATACATTCTGTTCAATAAACGATCACAAGCCATTTCAATTTGCCGCCTTCCCATGCCATCATATACTAGTCTTGTATATTTTACCGACGTTTATATACCCTGCGGCGTTGCCAATACCAATATTCAACAACCGCCCGATTATTTACACGAAACAAAAATGTTTTTTGTGTTATTGTCAAGTAATTAGATCAACGCTGGAGTTGTTTCAGATTTAGGATTGCGGGCCAGGTGGCCTTGGTTGGGGGAAAATATATAGAATTACAAAATATCGAAACGACACATTTTCGAAAACGAAATATAGACATCACAAAATATCGAAAACACAAAAAATCGGCAACAAGTAATATCGCCAGTACATAATATCGAAAACAAGAAATGTCGAGATAATATAACATCGAAACTACAATTTATCGAAACTACTTAATATCGATGTACAAAATAACGACACAGCATAATGCCGAATAAATAAAATATAGACATTACATAATTTAGATTATGTAAATATATCGAAAAATCTGTTTCAAAGCCAAAAACATCAATTTTCCTGTAACGCCTAGTAATAAATAACTCTCTTTAATGAATTAAATATAATGTACTTAATGCAAAATAACAAATTACCGAAATTACAAAATATCGAAAGTGCAAACTAGTACCTACATCAAAGAATACCATTCTGTGCCTACATAACAAAATTTCGTTTGTTGTCAACAACAATCATTAAACAAAATTTCTGTTTGTTTGATTTGTCTGACTGACATTTGGAAATAATCAAAAAGTGGGTGTGTTGTGCACAAAGAGGTTAAAAATGGAAAAAGACTGCGATTTTGAATACTTAGAGAGCAATAAAGGCGGAAAAATATTATATTCCAATGGATATTACTATACCAAAGAAAAATCTGTGAGTACAAAAATATATTGGAAATGCCAGAATTGGACTAGCTTTTGCAGAGGCAGAGGTACACTAGTTTCAAACACCTTTTCACGGACCGCTGATCACAATCACGAAGGAAATCCTGTTAAAGTTGAGGTCAAGAAAAAAATGAGTCAAATAAAGGAAAAAGCACTAGCCAGCAATGATGCTCCTCAAGTTATTGTCTCAAGTGTAATGTCAGATGTAAGTGGCGAGGCTAGTACTTCGTGTCCGTCGATAAGTAGTATCAGGAGAACTATCAGTCACATTCGAAAAAAAAAGTATTCCCACTACTCAATCCCAAAGGATCTGGAAGATTTAGTTATCCCCCAAAAATACCGAAAAACTGGGAAAAACGAGGAATTTATATTATATGACAGTAATGACAAACAGAGAGTAATTATTATGGGAACAAAACAAAATCTAAATTTTTTAGAACGAAGTACTAAATGGTATATTGACGGAACTTTTAAAACTGTGCCTGAATTATTCCACCAATTGCTGACGATACATGGCGATATAGAAGGTATTGTTTATCCTTTAATATACTGTTTATTACCCAATAAAATGGAGAGAACATATATTAAAATATTTGAAAAAGTTCGAGAATTTATTCAAAATCCAAAAGTATCCCTTATTCTAATGGATTTTGAAATAGCCTTAATAAATGCTACGAATTTGCTTTTCCCAATAGCTGATAAACAGGGATGCTATTTTCATTTTCGGCAGGCACTTTACCGACGTAT